GAGGGGAAACCCGGGCGGAAGAGAGGGTAGTGAAGCGTGGAATGGCCCAATATGAACCGTGGAGAGAGAGAGAGAGAGAGAGAGAGAGAGAGAGAGAGAGAGAGAGAGAGAGAGAGAGGGGGGGGGGCTTGACTGGATGACGAAGGAATAGATTTGCCCATAACTACTCAGTACATCATCATCGCCATCACATCTTCACCATCCTCACTATCCTCACTCCTCACTTTCTCACACTTCTCACTATCTCACTATCCTCACTTTCGCCTCACACTCCTCACTCTCACTATCCTCACTTCTCACTCTGTCCTCACACTCTCACTATCTCATTCTCATTCATCTCACTCCCTCACTATCCTCACTATCTCATCACCATGTTTAATTTTCACTGTCACTTGTTAAGAAATTTATGAGTTATTATGATAGATTCCAGCCATAAGCCTCGGGAAATATAGCAGATTAAATTAAAAAAGTAATTGACGATCTGGCAGATTTTAGAGTATATTAGACGCTTAGTAATTTTTGAGTAAAAGCGTGTGAGTTACGAGCTTAAGTGACTTTTGTGGAGTAGAGGTGAATTATTAGTGAGTTGGAAGCTTGAGTGACTTGTGAGTAGAGGTGTGAGTTACTAGTGAGTTGGAAGTTTGAGTGACGCTTGTGAGTAAAGGTGTGTGAGTTACTAGTGAGTTGGGAGCTTGAGTGACGCTGTGAGTAAAGGTGTGTGAGTTACTAGTGAGTTGAAGCTTGAGTGATTTTGTGAGTAAAGGTGTGAGTTACTAGTAAGTTGGAAGCTAGTGATGCTTGGGTAATTTCTGTGAGTAAAGGCGTGTGAGTTACTGAGTTGGAAGTTTTGGAGTGACTTGTGAGTAAAGGTGTGAGTTACTAGTGAGTTGGAAGCTTGAGGACTTAGAGTAAAGGTGTGTGAGTTACTAGTGAGTTGGGAGCTGAGTGGCGCTTGGAGTAAAGGTGGGTGAGTTACTAGTGAGTTGAAGCTAGTGATGCTTGTGAGTAATTGTGAGGTAAAGGCGTGTGAGTTACTGTTGAGTTGGAAGCTTGAGTGACGCTTAGAGTAAAGGTGTGAGTTACTAGTGAGTTGAAGCTTGAGTGACTCTTGTGGAGAAGTGTGAGTTACTAGTGAGTTGGAAGCTAGTGATGCTTGTGAGTAATTTGTGAGTAAAGGCGTGAGTTACTATTGAGTTGGAAGCTTGAGGACGCTTTGTGAGTGGTGTGTGAGTTACTAGTGAGTTGGGAGCTTGAGTGGCGCTTGTGAGTAAAGGTGGGTGAGTTACTAGTGAGTTGAAGCTTGAGTGGCTCTTGTGAGTAAAGTGTGAGTTACTGAAGTTGAAGCTAGTGATGCTTTGTGAGTAATTTGTGAGTAAAGGCGTGTGAGTTACTGTTGAGTTAGAAGCTTGAGGATGCTTGTGAGTAATTTGTGAGGCGTTTTGTGAGTTACTATTGAGATGGAAACTTGAGTGACTCTTCTGAGTAAAGTTTATGAATGATGGGATAAGTTACTACAGAGGGAACACACACATTGTTAATTTACGAATAAAATTATAATCAAACTTGAAGTCTTAATTAAGCTACAAATTATTATTAGCATCAATGTTCTTAGTAATTATTTTTGTTAATGTGGTCTAATACCGGTACATCAATGGTCTGATAACGGTATATCAATGGCCAGATAACGGTACATCAATGGCCAGATAACGGTACATCAATTGCCAGATAACGGTACATCAATGGCCTGATAACGGTACATCAATGTGGTGTTGATGTCGACAAAGCTTCACTTGAGGGGGTAACTAATATATATCCATTCCACCATTATATCTGTCGCAGCTCGGCCAATCATGTCTCAGCTCTCTATAAATACTTCTAATTCGTCAGTCGTCGCATCTGGGTGTAATTCTCGACCAATAACTTTCTTTTCCTTCCACCTAATCTAATTGTGGATTGCTTATCCCATCCTAGGGTTGTCATCGTACCCGAAGTCTTCGTACCAGACCACAACGCTGACCTGCTCCCCTCCTCCCCTCGACCTGTGACTGGTTTACTACACGTTATTAATAATAGTCTGTTATTGGGGTTATGTTATATAATAGAAAATGTTAATGAGTAAATTTAATCACCATATATTAATGGTGATATTTATGACTGTAAATTTACATAATGTGTTGACGGTAAGCGAGGAGTTTCTGAAGAATATGACTTGACTTGTTTGGTGAGCTGAACTTTACTAAATATTATGGTGACGGTGTATTAACGACGGTACACTAATGGTGAGGCTATTGATGACGGTACACTGATCATGGTGAGGCTATTGATGACGGTACACTGATCATGGTGAGGCTATTGATGACGGTACACTGATCATGGTGAGGCTATTGATGACGGTACACTGATCATGGTGAGGCTATTGATGACGGTACACTGATCATGGTGAGGCTTTTGATGACGGTACACTGATCATGGCGAGACTTTTGATGACGGTACACTGATTACGGTATCCAAACCACACTTTTCTCTTACGCTACAACACACCGTTAGGGCTGGCGAGAGTTGATCAGTCGAAGCTTCCATATTTGTGTTATTGTGAGAATTAATAACAACAACAACAACAACAGCAACAAAGGCAACAGCAATAACAACAACATGAAAGAGAGTGGAAGATTCCCTGCTCGTCTAATACAGATGAATCAAAATAGTGGAAATATATTCTTGCCAGCTGTCAGATATATTTCAGTGGGTCCTTATACTTCGCTCCATATTGACAGGGACTATATCATCCATTGATTCTCTCGGTGTTGGTTTGTTTCCAAGTTAATCCGAGATAGTCACGGAGGTCAGTAAGAGAGAGAGAGAGAGAGAGAGGGGGGGGGTCACTCAATAATTAGATCAAGATTTGCTCTCAAGACGACCTTCACTTCATTCACTGTTTACCAAATGCGCGCCAATTATCCCTGATGATTTTTTCAGTGGGACCGAGGAACAGATGGAGCCATTCAGGTCCTCGTTCCGCTGATTATCTCAATTCCAGCAGCTGATGGCCGCCATTAACAAATACCTCCAGTTGAGTTTTACCAAGACATGATGAGTGGTCTGAAGGATCTCCTGAGGAACTACTGAGCAGACTACTTCCTCGACCAGTGATCCCTTGAGTGTTCTTCTCCTCGACCATTGATCCTTGAGTGTTCTTCCTCGACCAGTGATCCTGAGTGTTCCTCTTCCTCGACCAGTGATCCTTGAGTGTTCTTCTTCCTCGACCAGTGATCCTTGAGTGTTCTTCTTCTCGACCAGTGATCCTGAGTGTTCTTCTTCCTCGACCATTGATCCTGAGTGTTCTTCTTCCTCGACCATTGATCCTGAGTGTTCTTCTTCCTCGACCAGTGATCCTTGAGTGTTCTTCTTCCTCGACCAGTGATCCTTGAGTGTTCTTCTTCCTCGACCATTGATCCTGAGTGTTCTTCTTCCTCGACCAGTGATCCTTGAGTGTTCTTCTTCCTCGACCAGTGATCCTTGAGTGTTCTCTCCTCGACCATTGATCCTTGAGTGCTTTTCTTCCTCGACCATTGATCCTGAGTGTTCTTCTTCCTCGACCAGTGATCCTTAAGTGTTCTTCTTCCTCGACCAGGATCCTTGAGTGTTCTTCTTCCTCGACCAGTGATCCTGGAGTGTTCTTCTTCATTCTGTTATATGTTTTGGGGTATCGTGGTGACCAGTGTCGCAATGGTGCGCATCCTCGCCTCGCAAGCCACTGGACCCGTTCGATCCTCGGGCAGGGCGAAACTATGAACAAGTTTCTTACGCCATTTGCCTCTGTCTACCCAGTAATTGGGGACCTGGATGTTAAACTATTTCGATCGTTCCGGGGTAATGGTTAGTCAGTGCAGTTGGCGAGTTGTCCGGTCTTCACTATTCCTTGACACTGGGTCATGCAGCTTGTTAACTCCTAGGTGTGGTTGTTGTGTTGGCGACAGCTTCCAACCTTAAACACTGGGTCATGCAGCTCGTTAACTCAGGGTGTGTGGTTGTTGTGTTGGCGACAGCTTCTACACCTTAAACACTGGGTCATGCAGCTCGTTAACTCAGGGTGTGGTTGATGTGTTGGCAACAGCTTTTACACCTTAAACACTGGGTCATGCAGCTCGTTAACTCAGGGTGTGGTTGTTATGTTGGCGACAGCTTCTACACCTTAAACAAATTCACGCCGAGGTGGCCCTTGGGCCGGCCATCCTCGTACAGGAGGCAAACCATTACTTATTATTATTATTATTATTATTATTATTATTATTATTATTATTATTATTATTATTATTATTATTATTATTATTATTATTATTATTATTATTATTATTATTATTATTATATATTAATATTATTAGTGTATGTGTGTGTGTGTGTGTGTGTGTGTGTGTGTGTGTGTGTGTGTAAGGCATCAGTCACGCCACTTATCTTTGTAATTTAACTATGCAAATCACCACACAATTAACTGTGTAACAATCTGCCCCATCGACTTATCTGTCTGAATGTATAATTAAAGACTGGTTGACTGCCTAACATACTGCCTGCCTGCCTGTCAAAAATAAATCTGGCCTTTGTACAGAATTTCCAGCAATATAGAGAAACAGATCATAAAACTATCTCCCATTGGCTGAACCAGAATAAACTATAATGCTCATTGGCTGAACAAAACAAACAATAATGTTCATTGGTTGACAGGCATATCTACACGGTCAATCAGCCAATCAGCACATATGTTTGCGTTTTTCCCTCTCTCTCCTCGGTCGTTCACCACGGGTCGTTAACGGGATGAATTGGTTGTTTTCCCATGTGTAAGACCCCCACACACACACATACAGTTAGGTTTCATTGTGTTCGTTTCAATAGTTCCTGTGACTGTCAAACCTACACAGTAGTTGCCACGTGTGTGTGTGTGTGTGTGTGTGTGTGTGTGTGTGGTGACTTAACTATCCTCACAGATGGTGAAGTTAGGTGGAAAGATGGTGAGAGAAAGATGGGAAGATAAACTCGCAGCTGGTACAGAACATGGAGTTAGAGGGCCAGGTGGTGTGACAGCTGGTGTTGGCGTCACAGCGGTGTGTGGCGTCACAGCGGGTGTTGGCGTCACAGCTGGTGTTGGCGTCACAGCTGGTGTTGGCGTCACAGCTGGTGTTGGCGTCACAGGGGTGTTGGCGTCACAGCTGGTGTTGGCGTCACAGCGGTTGTTGGCGTTGCAGCTGGTGTTGGCGTCACAGCGGGGCGGTGTGGCGCCGGGTGTTGGCGTTGCCAGCGTGTTGGCGTGCCAGCGGGTGTTGGCGCTGGGTGTTGGCGCAGCTGGTGCTGGCGTCTGCAGCTGGTGTTGGCGTCACAGCGGGTGTTGGCGTCACAGCGGGTGTTGGCGCTGCTGCTGGCGCTCGCCAGCTGGTGTTGGCGCTGCAGCGGGTGTTGGCGTCACAGCGGGTGTTGGCGCTACAGCGGGTGTTGGCGTTGCAGCTGGTGTTGGCGTCACAGCTGGTGTTGGCGTCACAACGGGTGTTGGCGTCACAGCTGGTGTTAGCGTCACGCTGGTGCTGGCGTCACAGCGGGTGTTGGCGTCACAGCTGGTGTTGGCGTTGCAGCAGGTGTTGGCGTCACAGCGGGTGTTGGCGTCACAGCTGGTGTTGGAGTGCACAACGGGTGTTGGCGTCACAGCGGGTATTGGCGTCACAGCTGGTATTGACGTCACAGCGAGTGTTGGCGTAACAGCTGGTGTTGGCGTCACAGCTGGTGTTGGCGTCACAGCTGGTGTTGGCGTCACAGCTGGTGTTGGCGTCACAGCTGGTGTTGGCGTCACAGCCTCTGCCAAACTACAAATTTATTTAACTAGCTGCACCTCTGTCACGGTACTTCACACAGCTAATTGCCTAGTTGACAGTTAACGAAAAGTAATCGACGTTGGTGACAAAAAGACTGATTATATTATGACGTGTGTGGGGAGGGGGTGAAGGGAGTGAAGGAGGGTAAGAAGGAAGGGGGAAGGTCAAACTAGATAGAGTGTAAGGAGGAGGAGGAAGGGAGGGAAGTGAGTGTGGAGAAGGAAGGAGAGGGAGAGGCGGAAAGAGTAAGATGGAGAAAAGGAGGGAGGAAGTGAAGGATAGAGGGTGAGACAGAGAGAGAAAGTAATAAAAGGAGAGGAAGGAACGGAGGTAGTGTAAGAGAGAGGAAGGAAGAGAAGAAAAAATCGTGAATTATCGTGGCGTAAAACAACCTGAGATTCAACTAACGAAGTTCTGAACCTAGTCTGTTCTCCTCTCTCTCTTTTTTTTTCTCTCTCTCTCTCTCTCTCTCTCTATATTCCCCAAGCCAATATCTAATTAAACACTTTATTCTTTTCTAAATTAACACCAGAATTCTCTTTGCGGGATGAGGACAGAAGGAGTATAGGTGAGGATAGGTGAGGATAATTGAGGATAATTGAGGATGAGGACAGGCGAGGACAGGTGAGGATAGGTGAGGATAATTGAGGATGAGGACAGGCGAGATAGGTGGAGGATATGTGAGGATAATTGAGGGACAGTAAGGAGGATAGGTGAGGATGAGGATAATTGAGGATGAGGACAGGCGAGGACAGGTGGAGGATATGTGGAGGATGAGGACAGGCGAGGATAGGTGAGGATGAGGGATAATTGAGGATGAGGACAGGTGAGGGCAGGTGAGGATATGTGGAGGATAATTGAGGATGAGGGACAGGTGAGGATGGGTGAGGATGGGGATGGATTGGGGATGAGGATAATTGAGGATGACGACAGGTGAGGATAATTGAGGGTGAGGACAGGTGGAGGATAATTGAGGATGAGGACAGGTGAGGATAGTTGAGGATAATAGGGATGAGGACAGGTGATGATGAGGACAAGTGAGGATAATTGAGGATGAGAGGTGGAGGGACAATTGAGGATAATTAAGGGTGAGGATGAGTACAAGTGAGGATAATTGAGGGGATGAGGACAGGTGGAGGGACAATTGAGGGATAATTAAGGGTGAGGATGAGGACAGGTGAGAATAGTTGAGGATAATTGAGGTTGAGGACAGGTGAGATAATTGAGGATAATTAAGGATGAGGATAATTGAGGATGAGGACAGGTGAGGTTTGAGGAGGGACAGCTGGAGATAGCTGGAGTATAATGATGATGAGGACAGATGAGGAAAGTTGAGGATACTATGATGAGGACAGGTGAAGATAATTGAGGATGAGGACAGGAGGATAGTTGAGGATGAGAACAGGTGAGGAAAATCGAGGATGGACAGGTGGGGATAGTTGAGGAGAGGTGAAGTAAGGATGGTTGAAAAGAGGATAATGATGGTTGAAGTGAGGTGAGGAGAGTTGAGGTGAGATGAGGAGAGTTGAGGGTGAGAATAGGAGGCTTAATGGTGGAAAATTAGCAAGAATGAGGATAGCCAAGGTGATGATAGCCAAGGTAAGGATAGCCAAGGTGAGGATAGCCAAGGTGATGATAGCCAAGGTGAGGATAGCCAAGGTGAGGACAGCCAAGGTGAGGATAGCCAAGGTGAGGATAGCCAAGGTGATGATAGCCAAGGTGATGATAGCCAAGGTGAGGATAGCCAAGGTGAGGATAGCCAAGGTGAGGATAGCCAAGGTGAGGATAGCCAAGGTGATGATAGCCAAGGTGAGGATAGCCAAGGTGATGATAGCCAAGGTGAGGGGATAGCCAAGGTGATGATAGCTAAGGTGATGATAGCCAAGGTGATGATAGCCAAGTGATGATATCCAAGGATATGATAGCCACGTGAGGATAGCCAAGGTGAGGATAGCCAAGGTGATGATAGCCAAGGTGAGGATAGCCAAGGTGATGATAGCCAAGGTGAGGATAGCCAAGGTGAGGATAGCCAAGGTGAGGATAGCCAAGGGATATGATGGCCAAGGAGGATGTGGGGATGATGGCCAAAATTGAGGATAGCCAAGTTGAGGATAGCCAAGGAGTGATGATAGCCAAGGATATAGTATAGGAATGAGGATGGCCAAAGGTGATGAGTAAACCATGGTGAGGATAGCCAAGGTGATGATAGCCAAGGAGAGGATAGCCAAGGTGATGATAACCAAGGTGATGATAGCCATGGTGAGGATAGCCAAGGTGATGATAGCCAAGGAGAGGATAGCCAAGGTGATGATAACCAAGGTGATGATAGCCATGGTGAGGATAGCCAAGGTGATGATAGCCAAGGTGAGGATAGCCAAGGCAAGGATAGTCCGGGTGAGGAAGAGTGAGGAATAGAGGGATAGCCAAGGTGAGGATAGCCAAGGTGATAGCCAAGGTGATGATAGCCAAGGTGATGATAGCAAGGTGATGATAGCCAAGGTGAGGATAGATAGGAGAGGATAGCCAAGGTGAGGATAGCCAAGGTGAGGATAGCCAAGGTGAGGATAGCCAAGGATATGATAGCCAAGGGGTGAGGATAGCCAAGGTGATGATACCCAAGGTGAGGAGAGCCAAGGTGGGGAGGATAGCCAAGGTGAGGATAGCCAAGGATAGAGAGATAGCCAAGGTGAGGATAACCAAGGTGAGGATAGCCAAGGTGAGGATAGCCAAGGGTGAGGATAGCCAAGGTGATGATAGCCAAGGATATGATAGCCAAGGAGAGGATAGCCAAGTGATGATAGCCAAAGGATAGGCCAAGGGATAGCCAAGGTGATGATAGAGTGAGGATAGCCAAGGTGAGGATAGCCAAGGTGATGATACAGCTATGGATATGATAGCCAGTGAGATAGCCAAGGTGATGATAGCCAAGGTGAGGATAGCCAAGGTGAGATGATGCCAAGGTGAGGATAGCCAAGGTGAGGATAGCCAAGGTGAGGATAGCCAAGGATAGCCAAGGATAAGGATTCGGGTGGAAGAGTGAGGAGGAGGAGGGCCGTAGACAGGCAGTAGTGACAGGTAGTCAATTGGGTCGTTAAGGAACTGCCAATCACACCCGACCTGACCTAACCATCGTTGGCTTCTGGAATTCTTTTGTTTGTTGCCTATCGCCTCCTATCACCCCTGTCTCTTCCTATCATCGCCTTCACTTCCTATTGCCTCCTATCATCATATCACCTCATCTACCTTTCATCATCTTATCACCACCTCATCACCTCATCACCCTCAATCACCACATCTCCACCTCCTCATCTTATCACCACTCATCACCTCACCTCTCATCTTATCACCATCTTCATCACCTTCATCACTCATATCACCTCATCATCATCATCCTATCACCTCCTCATCTTATCACCTCATCTTATCACCCCTCATCTTATCACCACCTCATCCATCCATCATCTTCATCCTCACCTCCTCACCCTCATCTTATCACCTCCTCATCTTATCACCTCCTCACATCATCTCCTCATCTTATCACCTCATCTTATCCCCACCTCATCTTATCACCCTCATCTTATCCTCTCATCATCACCTCCTCATCTCATCATCATCTTATCACCACCTCCATCATCTTATCACCACCTCATCTTATTACCTCCTCATCTTATCACCACCTCATCTTATCACCTCCTCATCTTATCACCACTCATCCTATCGCCTCCGTCTCTCCTATCGTCTCCAACTCTTCCTATCGTGTCTATTACCTATCGGTGCTAAGGGGTCAGGAACTTAACCCCTTAAAACACTACATCTCTACCCCAACAAGGGGGAGTGGGAGGCTTTATAGGTCTCCTCGGAAATAATGATATCAACAAATAATTATTGACCCCTGACATCTGACCTTTAGTAATGAGGTCACCTAAATGACCCAGTGACCTTTTATAATGACCCAATGACTGGGAGTGTTTAGCAATGTGTTTTAATTTGGTGAGTGTGTGTGTGTGTTTGTGTGCCTGTCCAAACATTTTATTATGTGACGAAATTGAAAAAAAAATATATATATATATATATATACACAATCAACACCTCAATCCGCCAGGATTCGAACCCACGGCCCACGAGCCCATGACTGTGACAGGGGAACGCTAACCGCTGGACCACCAGGATACTAAAAGCAGTCGTAGACTCTGTTATATTTCACACAAAGCCTGTTCAACGAGCCTGTTCAACCCCCCACTCTACCTCCCCAATCACCCTCACTCTACCTCCCCAATCACCCCTCTCTCTCCCTCCCCCCACTCTACCTCCCAATCACACTCACCAATCCCTCACTCTACCTCCCCCAATCACCCCCCACTACTCCTCAATCACCCCCCCACCCCTCAATCACCCACTCTACCTCCCCAATCACCCCCCCACTCTGCCTCCCCAATCACCTCACTCTACCTCCCCCAATCACCCTCTACCTCCCCTATCCCCCCCTCTCCCCTCTACCTCCCCAATCACCCCTACCTCCCCCAATCACCCCACTCTACCTCCCCAATCACCCCCTCCCTCCTCCCAATCACCCCCACTCTCACCCCCACTCTACCTCCCCCAATCACCCCCACTCTACCTCCCCAATCACCCCCACTCTACTCCCCAATCACCCCACTCCCATATCACCCCCCAATCACCCCCAACTCTACCTCCCCAATCACCTCCCCCTCACCAACCTCCCAATCACCCCCCTACTCTACCTCCCCAATCACCCCCACTCTACCTCCCCCAATCACCCCACTCTACCTCCCCCAATCACCCCCACTCTACCTCCCAATCACCCCCACTCTACCCCCCACTCTACCTCACCCAACCCCTACCTACCTCCAATCACCCCCACTCTACCTCCCCCCACCCCTCACCTACTCTTAATCCCCAACCTCCCCAATCCCCCACTCTACCTCCCAATCACCCCCACTCTACCTCCCAATCACCCCCCACCTCCCCAATCACCCCTCACTCTACCTCCCCAATCACCCCACTCTACCTCCCAAATCACCCCTCACTCTACCTCCCCAATC